GTCTGTGCTCATTCCGTCTATACATTTATGTGGCGTGCGAAGCTGTGTCCGACACATTGTCTTATGACTCTTATCCCATGATTATTCAGGATCATCAAGTATAAAGCATATAACTGCAGATGAGAGAGCTTCTATAAGTTTTAGTCCGACTTTCTCAATTTTTTTTTCTGTTTTTGCAGTATTTTTTATTATTACTTGCGTTGATCGTTTAGGGACCCAAAAATTTTGGTGCAATTTTAATGACTTTTCTACTTAGGGTTGAGTTTGCTGCAGTTTTAACGACTTCTTTACTTAGGGTTGTATGGTTGGCATGATTTTGGCTCCTTTTTGTTTAATTATATGGCAAGATGCATATGCTTAATGTTTGTTCCTTGTGGTCTCTTTGGGGTTGTATGGTTGGCATGATTTTGGCTCCATTTTGTTTAATTATATGGCAAGATGCAATGATGCATATGCTTATTATTTGTTCTTTGTGATCAAATGATGTACCGTCGGTGCGTTAACTGATTTTTCGTGTCGTAATACACTGGTTGATCGAATATTCTTATTGTTTCTTCCTTGTGATCGAATATTGTACATTCAATCCGTTCACTGATTTTCCACGTAGTAATATTTTACACTGGTTAAGCGAATATTTGATGAGTTAGGGGAAAGTAAATCATGTAATTTGTTGCAGGAAACACACTTTTGAAATTGGAGTCTCTAATGTCCAGCTCCAAACCCAGAAACATAATGCTTGTTACTAGATCATGAGAGTTAGTGGTGCACCAACAAATAGACTTATTAGTCGGCCCCAAGAGTAGCATTTTCGGCTTGTCCAAATCAACTATTTTCTCTACACCAGTGCAGAAATATCTTATCAGTAACCTGAAAATAGCCCGTCTGTTAAAGGACAACAAACACATTTGATTCTCACGCTATCTCTAAAGCCAAGGCCAGTCGGGGGCCTAAAACTCGAAGAAAAGACCGACTGCATCTACTGGATATACCTCTTTCATGCCCGTCAACCAGAACAACGCCAATGGCACTGAAAGACTTCTTCACCATCGAAACAGACCTCCGACAAGGAGT